CGCCCGCCTCGTCCTCGTCGTTCTCGTCGGTGGTGGGCGTCTTCGTCGTCCTCGTCGTCCGCGTCGGCGTCCGTCGCCCTCCGTCGCCGCCCTCGTCGATCGCCGTCCGAGTCGCGCTAGGAGGGGTGGGAGTGAGCTGGAGGAGTCCTCGTCCTCATCGTCCTCCTCGTCCTCATCGTCCTCATGGCGCCAACGTCGCAGCGCGGATCTCGTTCGGAAAACTGGGGGATGGGCCCTGACTTTCTTGGCGAGTGTCGTTCCCGATGTCGAAGTGAATTTCGTGCGGTTATTTTTAGCCAGGAGTGAAGACTACAAGACATCCACGCGAAATTCACTTCGTTTTTCGCTCACCTCTTCGGGGTTTGACGTTGACAGAAATCCACACAGAAATCCGACGCAGCACGTCTGCAAGGTCGGTGCAGTGATCCTCCTCGATGCCGTCCTCGTCAGTCGTGGTCTCGTCGGTGGTCGGCGTCCGTCGCTCTCCGTCGCCGCCCTCGTCGATCGCCGTCTGAGTCGGGCGAGGGGGGGGGATGAGTGGGAGCGGGGAAAGGGGTGCGGAACGAATGGAGACAAAGACTGACGGCAGGTCTTGTCGGGGCAACGTAAGAATCGAGTACGCCGTAACTCGGGTTTGCTGACGCGGTGTGACGAGCGCGGCCTGGATTTTGACGGTCCAGTTTTTGGATGTCTGCAGCGGGAGGTCGCGTCAAATTTCAGGCTGGGTCTCGTCATTTTTCACGACGGCCCCGTAAGGCCAACCCGAGTCCCCCGAACCCGAGACTTCCATCTCCCCGATCCTGTCCATTAGGAACTGGACTCGCGGTCTGTGACGCTGTGGGTTCCATTTGGGACAGAGTGGCCGCCTGGCCAACAGTGGCCGCTGTCGCATCTGCACATCATCCGCTGTTGGGCATCATAACCATTTTTGTCCGCACCCATGCGGGGTGTCCCCCCAAAAAGTCTTGGAGGTTTCGCGCGGCGCGCAACAGCTGTATAATCTATTCCGCACGTCCGATCCGTAAGGTACTGGTCGACGTTCGCGCGGCGATTCTCCGATATCCGTAGTAAATACCGATGTAATCCAACGTGAGCCCGACGTAGATCCGACGAGGATCCGACGTGCATTGGGTCTCAAATTGCCGCGCGAGGCCTCTAGGAGTTCTCTCGTAAGGGCAGCCTTCGAAGAATGTGTGGGGCTTTCCAAAAAAAAAGGCAGAGGCCTTTTCAGAAGACCCCCGAGGATGGCAAGAAGGCTTCTCAGAAGCAGGGCGGGCTTCTAAGGAGCCCCCCTGCCTTCTTAGAAGCCCCGCCGCCCCCTTAGAAGCCCATCCCCCGCGTGCCACCCCCCTTGTTGGCAATGTCAATCACCAGCCCGATCCCACCAACGATCCAGGCCTTCCAGGTTCAGGCTCGAGGCTTTCGGACGTTTTCGCCGGCTCTTGGCGGCTCTCCCGCCTCGGGCTGCTCTCCAGCAACGGCGCCTCGCCGAGAGCATTCCGGGGGTGCCCAGATCGTCCCACACGGCCGCCAGAGGGCCGAGCTACGGCCCCAAAGCGACCGAAGGTTGGGGACAGCCTCGGGGAGGAAGACGTCGACCCCCAGTCACCCGTTCGTCGCCGATGCGGGCCTGACAGCCCGCCACGCCCAGGAGCGCGCGGTTCCACAACCAGGGGCGTTTCGCTGGCGATGTATCGCCGAATCAAGCTCGCCCTGAACTGGTCCTCCCTTACCGTTCCCCCTCATTTCTTCCTCAAGCCCTGAACTACCCAGACCATTGGATACCAGAGGTTATCGGTCGCGGCCGGGGAGGCTGGTCGACACCGATGCTGTTCCAAAAGCCCAGCAGCGGTCACGACCGGTCTGCTTCAACATCGGTCGCGACCGACCCGGACGGAGTGCCGATCGGTCGCTGCCGCTCGCGACCGGCAGAGATCCGGTATCCAGTGGTTTGGGCAGGCGCCGTGCGAAGACCGCGACGGGCGGTCATGGGTCACCGAGGGCCCGCCTCGGGCCACGGGGCCCGTCGCAGATGGGCCCGTCGCCGGGGGAGCCACGAGCTCTCGACCGGGTCGACGAGCTCTCGAGCCGAGCCCAGGCGTCACGGCTGCAGGCAAGGCGCCGCAGTACGGAGCTGCTCGGGTGCCGACGGGGCTCGGTGCATCTCAGACCCTGGCACGGCTGTGCCTCTGGCCCCCCCTCGGGCAGGCAGGCGCTGTGAGGCCCAGGAAGGGTTTCGTTGCTTGCAGTCAGCCCGCACAGCAAGGATGCGCAACCTCCCAAGGTTACCCGTTGCATCCTTCCCCTTCGGCCCATCCTTGACCGCTTTCGCTGGCCGCGCCCCGCTCGCAAAGTGTCGGCATGGCCTTCCAGGGCCCTTTCATCCTTCTCGTGCGTCCTTCCTGTGCGGGCTGAAGGTATGCATCCTTCCTTGCTTCAGCAGCCTGACTGCACCTCCCCCGACCAGGCTTTGCCTGTCGGGGGTGCTTGCTGGTTCCAGAACTGCGGATGGGTTCCAGCCCTGCGCCGACCGCCCTCAGACCAGGGTTCCCATGCCTTGCGTCCGCATGCTGTTTCTGACAAGGCCTTGCCGGGGCTCCTTGGTCTCCTGCCTCGACGGTTTACGAAAAGGCCTCGCCTGGGTTCCCTGGTCATGTTTCTAGGCACCAGCGCCAAGCCATGCCAAGCAACGCCAAGCAACGCCCCGCAAGGAGTTGCAGGCAACGCCCAGCAGGGCCAAGCAGGGACCAAGTACCCCAAAGCAACACCAAGCAATGCCAAGCAATGCCAAGAAATGCCAGGCAATGCAAAGGAATGCCAGGCACTGCAAAGCAGTGCCAAGCAGTGCAAGGAAAACATGATGCCAGGCAAAGCATAGCAACGCAATTCAAATCAACTCAAAGCAACACACCGCAAATCAACGCACATCAATAACAACCACAGCAAGTCCAATTAAAGCAACACATTCCTTCCTGAGTATTTTAGTTGGGAAGCTTCCCCTGATTTGGGTCGCGCCAGGGTCATGTCGCCTGACGGCGGTCCAGGCCATCGGACTGCTCTTCTACGCGTCCGTTAACTCTCGGCGGCTTGGAGGAGGGAGGAGGAGGAGGAGGAGGAGGAGGAGGAGGAGGGGGAGGAGGAGGAGGAGGAGGAGGAGGACCAGCGTAAAACCAAGAGTCATCAACGATGTTGACAGTAACCCGCCCTCCAAGCTCCCTCTTCACAGGCCCCCCACAACGGTTCATTTTCATTGTGGGAACTGCCTCGTTGGAAGACAACCGTTTGAAGATCCTGAAGCACGCCAAAACATTGTTCTCGGGATGTCAACGCCACGGATCGACCCGACTGCTGCGTCTTGAAGATCCGGAATCGTGCCAGAGCGCCATTTTTGGAACTTCAACACCGCGAACCAATATAACTGTTGCACCCGCATAAACCTGAACCCTTCCAAAGCACCATTTCTGCTACGTTGATCATGGGAATCCGTGAAGCCCTTGTACATGTTTAAAACGAATGTGCGCGGCGCTCAGGCGAGAGCTACATTTTGAAAAGGAGCAGCCCTCGATCCGTGAAACTCTTGTGAGTTCTGACAACGAATGTGCGCGGCGCTGAGGCGAGAGTCACATGTTGAAAACCACCCGCCCTCAATCCGTGAAGCCCTTGTACATGTTTAAACCGAATGTGCGCGGCGCTGAGGCGAGAACCACATTTTGAAAACCACCCGCCCTCCATCCGTGAAACTCTTGCAAATGCTTAAAGCGAGTGCGCGCGGCGCGAAGGCGAGAGCCACATTTTGATAACCACACGCCCTCCATCTGTGAAGCTGCTGTCATTTTGAAAGTTTGCACTTTTTAAGCTTCAGCGTCATACATGGTAAGGAAGTCTCAGGCGAAACGCCCGGCCCGCTCTAAAAACTGGCCTCAGGGTGCGACAGGGAGGAGGTACTTATGAGGAGAAGGAATGGAGGAGGAGGGAGGAGGGATGAGGAGGAGGAGGAGAAGGAGTGGGAGGTGGAGGAGGAGGTGGAGGAGGAGGAGGAGGAGGAGGAGGAGGAGGGAAGGAGGAGGAGGCAGAAGTCGAAAGACAGCCGGCGGAAGGCTGATGCCCCCCCCCTTCGGAGGCCTGAAGGCCTGGAGCGGCGGAGTAGGTTGCCGCAAGGCCGCCCGACCCCCCCCCAGGGCGGCGTGCCCACCGGGAGGCGCGTCGTCGAACAGCACCCATCCAGGACCCCCGACGTCGTGATCCTAGACCCCCTCGGGCCACGGGAAAATCTCGACGGGAGGTTTTTCTCTCTCGGCTTCTGGGGGCCCGCCAAAAAACGGCACGGGATGAGAGACTGGTCCCGGGGAATTGGTCCAGACTTCTGGGGGTCGACGTCATGAAACAATCAGGACCCCCGACGTCGTGATCCGCGTGATGGCTCAACGGCGTGGGCCACGAGGCGTCTGGACCCTTTTCCTGGGACCTGTGCTTCCTCCCGGGTGGTTTTTTGTTGATTCTCCCGGGGGCCAGCGAGGGCACCCCTGATGCCCGACGGCCGCCGACAGCCGCCGCAGACCGCTGATGGCCGCCGACGGCCGCCACAGGCCGCCGGCGGCCGCCGCAGGCCGCCGACGGCCGCCGATGGCCGCCGAGGGCCGCCGAAAGCCGCCGATGGCCGCCGACGGCCGCCCAGAGCTCCCCGCAAAGCCGCACGGGCGACGCGACGGGGGCCCGGGACCGCCCCGCGGAGCGCCGCCGCAGGCGGCCGCCGAAGGCCGCCCACAGGCCGCCGCCGACGGCCGCCGCCCGCCGCGCCGAGGGCCGCCGATCGGCCGCCGATCCGCGGCCGCGCGCGGGGCCGCGCGCGGGGCCGCGGATCGGCGGCGGCCGCGCGGCAGGTCGTGGGGCGGCCGCGGCGCGGCCGCGGCGCCCGGCGCCTGGGGCCCCCCGCGGCGCTCCGCGAGCGAGGCGGCGCTGGGCGCCGCGCCGCTGGCGCGGCGGCCGCAGGCTGCGGGCGCCGCGGCGGGCCGCCGGGGTGCAGGCGCACGCCGCCGGCCAGCCTCCGGGAGGGTTTTGGAGGCTTCTCCTCCGCCTGCTTCTCCTCCATCTGCTCCTGCTCCTGCTCTTGCTCCTCCTCCTCCTCCTCCTCCTCCTCCTCCTGCTCCTGCTCCTCCTCTCCTCCTCCTCCTCCTCCTCCTCCTCCTCCTCCCTCCTCCTCCTCCTCCTCCTCCTCCTCCTTTTCCTCCTCCCTCCGGAGGGCCGTCGGCACGTCTCCGGAAGGCCAGCCTCCGCCTGCCAGCCTCCGGAAGGTTTTCGAAGGTGTTCGCTTGGGCGGGCGTCGCGCAAGGCGGGGGCGATGCACGAGGGGGGGCAGCGAGGGCGGTAGAAACGGAGCCTCTTAGGGCCCCCCTCAAGAGGTCCGTCAGGGCCCTAGAGTGGGCCTGCATAGGGCCCGAGTAGTGCACCTTTCTTCCCCCCTCATGTATGCGTCGCTCCCGCATTAAGCGTCGTCCCACCCGGATGTTCTCGAAGGTTTTCAACGGTTTCCGTATGTTCTCCATGTTTTCGCACGGTGTTTGCTTGAAGCACGGTCCCGTAATTGTGTTGTTGCAGGTTTTCGCACGTGTTCGTATGCTTCTTTTTGTGGTTCCTCCTGCCTCCCGATGTTACCAAAAATATGTTCATATGTGTTCGGAGGTGGATTTTTTCTGCGGCTTTCTGGAGTCTGAGGTCTCGGCAGGAAGTTGTCATGGCTCGGGGGGGGGTCCGCCAGCCGCGCCTCGTCGAGGGCGTTCCGGGGGCGCCGTGATCGCCCCGAGCCGAAGGACCGCCACAGACCCGACCTGTGGCCCGAGAACTGGCCCATCGCGCAACGAAAAAAGTCATAGCGGGCAGTTTTCGGTCACCGGGGGCCTTCGCAGGGCTCCGTAAGAAAACGACCCGGGATGAGAAACACTTGCCCTGGGGAACTGTTCGGAACTCCTGGGGATCCCGTGCTGAGAAAATCCAGACATCGCCTGACTTGGGGGTCGTTCAAAGCAGGGGAAGGTACCAATACCGCTACCCTTCGTCCCCTGTTCGGGCTTCCTGGGAGGCCCTCGTCGCCATCGCCGGATTCGCCTCGAAAGTCAAGTCAGAGCGCACCCTTGGAGAGGTCTGGGGAGTAGCGGTGTCGGTACCCTTTTTTGTTTCCCCAGTCGTTGCAGGTGGGCGCAGGGCGACAGGAGTCGGCATACACATTCGGAAAAGTGCAGCGCACATGCATCGGTCCATCGACAGCGCGACTCTCGCGGCCACGGTCAGTCGGACCCAGTCGAGGCTGGCGGCACCAATGGCCAAAGAAGGGGGGGCAGTGCGGCCAGCTCGCTCAGCAAGCCGACGGGTGCAGATTGAGGTGGCCGGCAGAGCGAGTACAGTGGGAACCCATGCCAGGAAGCTCCCTGCTTGCCTCCAGGGTGCCCCGGGCTTCCTGGGTGTCGACGGTTCTGCTCTGGAAAGCGTGACGCTCCCACACCAAAGCTCCACGGACTTCCTACGCTCTCAGGGTTGGGCATCATGTGGAAGAAGGTTTCTTGTGGTCGAGCTCCTCCTGTATCTCAATCGGTCGGCTACTACGGCTGTTGGTCGGGAGGCGCCCTGTGGTTTACGCAGCCCGAGCAGCAGGCATAGCTGAGTGCAGGATAGACGGCCGGCGGCCGAAGGTGCATTCTCAGCGGGCGCAGCACCAGCGCCCTGCGCGTCACCTGGCCGTGGCATTCCTGGTCGCGCCCCAGGGCGCACTCCGACGCGCTCATGACAAGGACACTGCTGGCTGGGCTTGTTACAGTTCGTCTCTCTCAGTGCCGAAACGCGCCGAGAGTCCAGCAAGGCATGAGGGTGCAAACCCGACTTGTCTGGCTGATGCTCCTGGGGGGTGGGGCCTGTGCTCAGGGGAGGCTGCAGCACCGCTCAAAGATGTGCTGTCAGCCAGACCTACAGGGCGGGCCTTCCATTTCTCTGTGCACTTCGGCTTTGGCTTCGGCTGCAGCGGCCGATGCACCGTGAAGCGCCTTCGGGCCAGCTCACCCGAGTCGGATCTTCCGCTCGCACGGGTGCTCTTCCCCCCTCTCTTCTCTCTCAGTTGAGGACAGCACAACCCACCCCCAGCACCACCCAGGGCACCCACCTCCGACCTGGTGATCCAGGGTGCCCTGGGTGGGGGTGGGGGTGGGTTTTTGGGCCCCGGGGCTCTTACAACCCACCCCCACCCCCACCCAGGGCACCCTGGATCACCAGGTCGGAGGTGGGTGCCCTGGGAGGGGCTGGGGGTGGGCTGTGCTGTCCTCATCAGTCTCCATCCCTTTGCCGATCTCACCCTTGGGAAGGAAGCCGCGACCCACGCGGGCGCGCAGCCGCACGCCGGGCGCCGGGCAGTCAGACCGGGGGCCGGGAGGCAATCGGCGAGCGTCCTTCGAGCGCGGTGCCAGCGAGGCGCGGGCGGCGCGGCGGCGGGGCGGCGGGGCAGCGGCTGGTCCCGGCCGAGGGTGCTCCTCGGCCGGGCGCACGCTGCGCGAGAGCCCCCGAAGGGTGCTGCAAGACGGGCCGATCTTTCCGCCACGACTACCACAGGTAGGTCAGGGGGGAAGGGAGGTTGGGGAGGTCCCGCTCCTCCTCCTCCTCCTCCTCCTCCTCCTCCTCCTCCTCCTCCTCTCCTCCTCCTCCTCTTCCTCCTCTCTTTCCTCCTTCTTCCTCCTCTCCCTCCTCCTCCTCCTCCTCCTCCTCCTCCTCCTCCTCCTCCTCCTCTTGATCCTCCCTCTCCTACGTATGGTAGAGGTGGTGGAACATCGGCCCGTCAATGCTCACTAGTGCCGCCTGTAGGGGCGGCGCGGCCCGGCGCACGCGATGTCTGGCAGGGCGGGCCACACGCGGACGCAGGCAGGAAGGAGCTTACGAGGGGTGGCGTTCCAGTGCCCCAGAGGGCGGCCGCTGTTGCAGCGAGCCAGTCGTTCAGGGGAGGGCGAGTCGAGACCCAGACCCCTTCGAGCCATGAAACAATCATGACGGAACGCTTCTCGCTATGTTCGGCCTCTCTGTCGGCCCTCACCGGGCCTCGGGGCCGTCAGAGCACGACTCAGGATGAGGAGCCGGTCCCGGGGAATGGGTCCAGACCTCTATGGGGGTCGACGTCATGAACAAATCTCATGACGTCGGGGGTCTTGGGACGGGGCCCCCTCGTCGCCAAGGCTTTTTCTCTAGGCCTCCTAGATGGGGTTCGAGTGGATGGGGTCGGAGGATCGCACCGCATCGCCGATGCATCGCCGATGCTGTTCGATGCGGAGCCCGATTTGCTTCACGTCGACGTCGCCGATGCATCGCCCACCTCGACGATGTATCGCCGGTGCATCGCCGGTGCATCGCCGATGCATCGCCGATGCATCGCCGATGCATCGCCGATGCATCGGCGATGCGGCGCGATCCTCCGACCCCATCTACTCAGACCCCATTTAGGAGGCCTCTATTGTCGCAGCCCGGACAACTGGTGCGCCGTGACACCCGGGAGGGCCGCCTTGTTCCCCGCGCGCCCTCCTCCGAGTCCTGCGGCGGTCCCGCCCCGTCACAAGAGCACAGCGGCGCCAGTGAGGCTGCCGCAGGGGTGAGGCACACGGAGAGAGGAGATGGAGGACAAAAGGCAGGTCATGCTCCTCCTCCTCCCTCCTCCTCCCTCCTCCTCCCTCCTCCGCCTCCTGCTCCTGCTCCTCCTCCTCCTCCTCCTCCTCCTCCTCGCCTCCTCCTCCTCCTCCTCCTCCTCCTCCTCCTCCTCCTCCTCCTCCTCCTCCTCCTCCTCCTCCTGTGGAGGGGCGCCCCGGCACACGAAGAGGGGTGCCCGCGAGAGGGCCCCCGGGGCATCCCCGATCGCTGTCTGCTGGCAGCCACGGCGAGGAGACGCGAGGAGGGCGCGCCCAGGCGAGGGAGGGCGGCGCGGAGGCGGCGCAAGAGCTTGTTTCTTTCCATGAGGGAGGGGACCGATGGTGGCGCGGTCAGCGGCTGAAGGCGTGAACGGACGCTCGTGGCTGGCAGTTTTCGTAGAACGCGCTGAAGGCGCTCAGAAAGAAGATGGCCTGGCCACCGAAAACGAGATTGACGACAGCGAGCTGGAGGCAGAAGCATGGACGACATGGCCCAAGTTCTACGCCAACGACAGCGATGATCTCGGGAAGCACAAACCCGACCTGGACTCCTGAGCGGCAAGGCTGCCGCCTGGGCGCCGCTAGTCCCAGACTGCAGGCTGTTAGTAAGCTTATGCCACATTGCTTTCACATTCTCGGCTTGGCAAACACAGGACTTGTTGCCGTTGACGATCCTCGCACGCGTTGATCCTCGGTCTCATGTTGCATCCTCTAGCTAGTCGAGCACGCACCGCGCGCAGGGCAAGATCCCGTCCGAGCACGACGCCGAGTCCGATACCAGACTAATTACGCGTGTCGTCTTTCATACATCTCAGACACGCCAGGCTCATCATTGTAGTTTGTAGCTGACACTTGTCGGAGTCAGTATTGCTCCCTGAGCAGAACCTTGCCTGCGGCCATTGGCAATGACAATAAATCAGGCTGAGTGAGGCGGAGAAGGAGGAACATCATGATATGGATCATGATGAGAAGTAGGCTGGGTTCGAGGAGGATGGGAAGCATAAGGAGGATAAGGATAAGGAGATTGAGAAGGAGGAGGAGGAGGAGGAGGAGGAGGAGGAGGAGGAGGGGGGAGGAGGAGGAGGAGGAGGAGAAGGAGGAGCAGGAGAAGAGTCGATTGTTTGCGTGTGTGCGTGGGCGTGGCAGTGCCAGGGGCGCAGGTCGGCGGAGGGCCAGCAGCAGGAGAGGCACCTCGCACGCCCCTCTCCCCAGGCGCCCGGTCGAGCCCCCGGAGCCCTCCGGCGCCGAGCCCGGGCGCACGCGCCCCGCGGGGCTTCTGCACCTTCTCGGGCGGGTGTACCCGGGGGGGTGAGCTATAAAAGTCAGAGGGCCAAGAGGTACCCGTGCCGCGCTACCCTCTGCCCGTTTTCGCTTCGTCGACGGCCTCCTCCTGGGGGCCCTCGTCGCCTCCGCGGACTGCGCCTCGAGGTCCTGGTCAGAACGCGCCCTGGGAGAGGTCCGGGGAGCAGCGGTGTTGGTACCTTTCGGTCTCCGCAAAGTGGGGGGTGGAGAATTAGTTCTTCAGTCGACAACTGAAAGAACATAAACATTAACGTTTGGCGCCCTACGTGGATTTCTTGGATCCGCGCTGCCCCCCCCCCTCCCTGGCGGCGCTTCCGGCGCCGCCCCAGGCGCGCTCCGCGCGGCAGGGAGGGGGCCCAGCGCAGGCGCGGAGCGAGCGCCCAAGATTATGCTCCTGCTGTTTGTCCGTCTTCTATCCAGGGCCTGTTCAAAAAATCCCTGTTCTTGACCCCCCATTTGACTAAGTCGCCCCTCCACCCGCCCGACCTTCGGCCACCGCTGACGCCCCCGGACTTCCCCGGGGCGGCCGCCACCCGTCGGCGCCGACTTGGGCGGCCCGCGGTTGACGCGTGGCGCGTAGGTGGTCACCTTTGGCGTTCCTCCTCCTTCGCCTCTTCCTCCTCCTCCCCTCCTCCTCCTCCTCCCCTCCTCCTCCTCTCCTCCTCCTCCTCCTCCTCCTCCTCCTCCTCCTCCTCCCCCACTCCTCCCTCCTCCCCCCTCCGCCTCCTCCTCCTCCTCCTCCTCCTCCTCCCCTCCTCCTCCTCCTCCTCCTCCTCCTCCTCCTCCTCCTCCTCCCTCCCCTCCTCCTTCTCCTCCTCCTCCTCCTCCTCATAACCACGTTCGTGCCAGGCGTGATCAAAAATGGCCAGCCCTCTCCTCCTGACGCTGTCACCGCCCTCCCCCCCCTCACTTATGTTCCTGGCCGGGTTTTGAGAGTTTGCTTTTCGGATGGTGGTACCACTCTGGTGCATTGGAATGTGCATAACCACCAGTTAACGCCAAACGAAATTCGGAATGTGTGCAGTGCAATTTCCCAGGATTGTGTGTTGTCCGAGGCCTCCCCTGAAAGCCATCTAGTTGTAGTGCACGGTAAGTTTAATTTGGTCTTTGAGGAAAAACTTAGCTCTTTGCAGCCATCTGAGGCCCAGCGGGTCCCCAGGCCCTTGCATGCGAGAGCCCTTGTCTGGACTCCCGCATTCGATTCCCTCGTTGCGAGTACATCTGCGGCCGCGACGGCATTCCCAGGCCGATGCTGTTGCTGCTATTGGTCGATTATGGTGCTCGGGGCCTGGCTGGGCTCTGGCGCAAGTGGCGATTACCCTGAGAGTGGAAGGGGACCCTGAGACCTTGTCGCAGAATTACCCTGGCGACGTACCCAACCATTGCGCCATGCGGGGCGTAAGCGCGTCAGGATTGCTACAACGGGGCGATGACGTAACATGGACGCATGTGATTTTGCGAGCAGCAATCGGAAGGCTCGCAGGCCTCCGATCAAGATCTTAGGGCTACGTAATAACAGATCACCCCCGTTGGCTGCGCCATGCGCCCGTTGCACCCAACGTATCCCGCAGCAGCTCTTGAGAGCCCCCGCGGGATACGTGTAGGCGCGACGTTATTGCCATCGCCCTTCATATGGTCCATTTCACAAAATCACCCGCGTTGGCTGTGTCATGCGCCCGTTGCGCCTGACGTATCCCGCAGCAGCTCTCCAGAGCCACCCCCCAAGGACGGCGAGGTTCCGCTCAGATCCCGCGGTGCCTCACTCCGCAGGACCCACCAGACCCACCAGCAGCCCTCGAAAGTGGCGACAGCGTCACAGATCGCAGCCCCCCAGGGACAGCGAGATCCCGCTCAGATCCCCGCGGTGTCTCACTCCGCAGGACCCAGAAAGTGGCGACAGCGTCGCAGATCGCAGCCCCCCCGAGGACGGCGAGGTCCCGCTCTGATCCCCGCGGTGCTTCACCCCGCAGGACCCACCAGCAGCCTTCGAAAGTGGCGACTGTGTCGCAGATCGCAGCCCCCCAGATACGGCGAGATTCCGCTCAGATGCCCGCCGTGCCGCATTCTGCAGGACCCACCAGCAGGCCTTGAAAGCGGCGACATTGTCGCAGATCGCAGCCCCCCAGGGACGGCGAGGTCTCGCTCATATCCCCGCGGTGCCCCACTCCGAAGGACCCACCAGCAGCCTTCGAAAGTGGCGGCATCGTCGCAGATCGCAGCCCCCAGGGACGCGAAATCCCGCTCAGATCCCCGCGGTGCCTCACTCCGCAGGACCCACCAGCAGGCCTCGAAAGTGGCGACAGCGTCGCAGATCGCAGCCCCCCAGGGCCGGCGAGGTCCTGGTCAGATCCCCGCCGTGCCGCATTCTGCAGGACCCACCAGCAGCCTTTGAAGATGGCGAAGTGTCGCAGATCGCGGCTCCCTAGGGACGGCGAGGTCCCGCTCATATCCCCGCGGTGCCTCACTCCGCAGGACCCACCAGCAGCCTTCGAAAGTGTGACAATATCGCAGATCGCTGCCCCCCAGGGACGGCGAGGTCCTGCTCAGATCCTCGCGGTGCCTCACTCCGCAGGACCCAGAAAGTGGCGACAGCGTCGCAGATCGCAGCCCCCCAGATACGGCGAGATTCCGCTCAGATGCCCGCCGTGCCGCATTCTGCAGGACCCACCAGCAGGCCTTGAAAATGGCGACAGCGTCGCAGATCGCAGCCCCCCAGCGACGGCGAGGTCCCGCTCAGATCCCTGCGGCGCCGCATTCTGCAGGACCCACCAGCAGCCTTCGAAAATGGCGACAGCGTTGCAGATCGCAGCCCCCAGGGGCGGCGAGGTCTTGTTCAGATCCCCGCGGTGCCGCATTTTGCAGGACCCACCAGCAGCCCTTGAAAGTCGCAGATCGCAGCCCCCAGGGACGGCGAGGTCCCGCTCAGATCCCCGCGGTGCCTCATTCCGCAGGACCCACCAGCAGCCTTCGAAAGTGGCGACAGCCTCGCAGATCGCATCCCCCAGGGACGGCGAGGTTTCGCTCAGATCCCCGCGGTGCCGCAATCTGCAGGACCCACGAGCAGCCTTCGAACGTGGCGACTGTGTCGCAGATCGCAGCCCCCCAAGGATGACGAGGTCCCGTCCAGATCCCCGCGGTGCGTCACTCCGCAGGACCCACCAGCAGCCCTCGAAAGTGGCGACAGCGTCGCAGATCGCAGCCCCCCAGGGACGGCGAGGTCCCGCTCAGATCCCCGCAGTGCCTCATTCCGCAAAACCCACCAACACCCCTCGAAAATGGCGACAGCGTCGCAGATCGCAGCCCCCCAGTGACGGCGAGGTCCCGCTCAGACCCCTGCGGCGCCGCATTCTGCAGGACCCACCAGCAGCCCTCGAAAGTGGCGACAGCGTTGCAGATCGCAGTCCCCCATGGATGGCCAGGTTCGCGCACGGCAAGAGGAGACGAGAAAAAAACGGGAGACGGGAGGCGGGAGGAGGGGGCGGGAGGAGAAGGAATAGAAGAACTGGAGACCGCGGTGCTCTATTCAAAACGAATGCCCAACCAAGGAGGGTTGGGAAACAAGATAATTGACTATGCTGCTCAGATTGTCCTTTCTCATCAACGGCGCCCCTTGGTAATGATGACAGACCGATCCCCAAACATAAATTTGTTTCCAAGGAGTTCCAGGAGATTGCGAAGCGATTTCTTGAGGCAGAACAATCGTACCTGGATCGTCTCAGCTCACCTTCGAGATTGGAGAAGTATACGTATTTACTGTCCGAGGCCAGTCGCGAGGCGAGGGATCGCCTTTCGTATCGGCGCCCGCGAGATCCTCGCACACTTTTGTTGGTTGCTCGTGCTGTCGCGCGCGCAGTGTGGAGACAATATGTCCCAACTGCAGAGCGGCTCTTGGGACCTCATCTTGTTGCGGCTGACTTTCTAGACGTATCTGGCTCCAGAGTTGAGCTTGTGCACGCGGCATCATTCATGCAGTGGTGCAGCGTGCAGCAGCTCAACGCCCCGATGTTAGATCGGACGTATCTTCGTGCCCGACTTGAGCAGGGGGGTGGAGGAGGTGATCATGCTGGAGAAGGTGTTTCAGCAGCTCAGCTTCTCAGGGGGATTCTGGCGGTAGAAGGTCGTGCTGCGTATTTGGGTGCCTTCTGCTCGTCGCCTTGTTCTGCGGGATGTCCTGGTTGACGGTGCGCCCGTGGGGGGGCCGGAAGCTCGGAGCAAAGCTCTTGGGGATCATTGGGGGCAGCATCTTTGGCAGGAAGCCCTGGGTCCGTGCCACTGCTGGAAAATATGTTGGCAAGTTCATCAAGCCAGTCGATCTCTCGAACTGTGCAGCCCCGAACCTGTATGTGATGAAGGAGGTGCTGGCACGTGCTTCCGACTCCGCGCCAGGTTGCGACCGCCTCTGCTGCGCTGCTTGGGCGGCGAACCTCTACGGTGCGGAGTTCCTGCATGATGTCATGCTCGACTTGCTCTGTGGCATCGCCCCGCTTGCCAGCGAGAGTAAAACATTCCAGGCTTTTTCCACTCGCTAAAAGAGAATGTGATGGTGACACACAAGCAGGTGAATGTGCGCGTGGTGTGAATGCTGTCAGTGTCCTGGTCCTCAGGAGTACGAGCTGTAAGATTAGCACTGCCGCTGTCAACTACGCGATTCGGAAGCCTATGGATGCTTTTGTACCACCATCGCAGAGAGGCTTCATGAGAGGATTTATCGCGAGGTTAATGTTGTTGCTCGTGCTGACCCGTGCCATTATGGAACTTATGGGTATTCGCATAAATTGTATACTGTGGAATATGGATCTGCTTTTCCTAGCCTCCTATCCCAGCACTATCCTTCTTTGGTGCTGCAACGTATGAGATGCCCTCCTGCTGTCCTCATGTTCGTCGATATCCTTCTGCGTTTTGACTTCGGTTTGGTACTATTCAGGGATATGCCCTCTTCAGGTTCATTCTTCGCTGTTGCCCTCACCCTGACTGTGCTCGACGTGTTCGTTTCGATCGAGGCTGCCAACATGGGGGTTAGTAGAGCTTGTGCTGGTGATATCGGTGGTGTTCTCAGAAGGCTACGAGGACGTCGCACGCTTGCTCGCATGATGGATATGTGCACGCGCGGGTGCCACACCTTGTTCTCAAGCCGCCGAAGTGTTTCCTGGCGCGTGTTGCCTCAGCATTTACGCCGTCTCTGCAGGCGAGAGCAGAGGAATATCTCAAGCCTTGCGTGCCGCAGTTGGGCCTCCTTCCAGGTGGCGCCGGAACTGTCTTATCTTGGCATGTTTGCGGGTCTTGGGGCGACCTCTCGCGGACTCCTGGAGTGATCCGAGCAGTAAATACCAATCTCGTGCCAAAACCATTTGTCAGGGTGTGTCCAGACGGAGTCGATTCCGGGCCAGCTGTACTTCAATTGCCCACTCTCAGCTATGTCGGCCAATATGTTCCTCCTCCTCGACGGGCGCTCGACTTGGAAATTGGGGCTCTGGCATCAGCGTTTCGTGTTCCGATTGGCACGTTCATTGCCACTGCCTGGAATGTCTTGCGCGAGTGGAATCGCCCAATGGTCAACCCGATTGTCCAACTGTGTGCCGCAATTTTGACGCGCATGGCTATCAGTAGCGTTCCTGAGTTCAGGCAAGTTTTCAGTTGGCTCGACAGGTGTGCCAGTGCCGAGGATAATCGTGACCATTGCCGTCTCATTGTTCTACCTCAGAACCGTCGTTATCCTGCTCAGTGGAAATGTCGTGCGCACGCTGGGTCCCTACAAGACGCGTGGGACGGTGCATGTAGCCCTGCTGGCCGCATGGCTGTCGCTGCCGCACGCGCCGCCCTCTCCGCAGCCCCTCATCAAACAAATACAGCGTTCTGCATTCCAGGCGTGCTGTTCTGCGCTTCCAAACTTGACCCTGTCTGACCTCTTCCGGCAGAGAATGAAGAAATGGTGGCCTGACCGGTAGAGTGAGATCGATGCTGTGAATGTTGAACCCCCTCGTCATGTTTTCAAGACTGTTCCACCGTCGTGGGCTTGGTCCTGGTTGCGCACCGCTGTACGAGGGTGGATGACGGCACGCAGAATTCTGAGGGAGAGAGGAAAAAACACGTGTATTCTAGGCTGCCCAGATTGCTTAGATCGCCAGCGCCGCTATGCTTTCTGTCCTCGTTTGTCTGTAGCTGTTGCGTTCGTTTTTCGGTTTCCTTTTTGGCCTCGGACCCATTAACACGTTTGGGAATTCCGACCTGCACCATCCAGGAGTTAGAAGAAGTATACGTAGCAACCCGCAGGTGCGGATACGAGTGAGGGGCGGTGGGGACGTCGGCAGCCTGCGAGACTCTGGAGAAGCCCGCCGCAGGCGCCACAGTTTCACAAATTATGCAGTTAGCCCGTCGCAGGCGCCGATCGTTGTTTCAAACCAATGTGGATCGGTCGCGGGTGGGTCGCGGAGTGGGTCGCGAGTGGGTCACGGGGTGGGCCGCAAGTGGGTCGCAAGTGGGTCGCGCGTGGGAGGCTGATGTGTCGCGGGGTGGGTCGTGGGTGCGTCGCGGTTTGGGTCGCGGGTGGGTCGCGGGTGGGTCGCGGGTGGGTCGCGGGGTGGGTCGCGGGTGGGTCGCGGGTTGGGTCGCGGATGGGTCGCGGGGTGCGTCGCGGGGTGGGCGCGGGGTGGGTCGCGGGGTGTGTTTCAGGGTGGGTCGCGGATGGGTCGCAGGGGGGATGACGATAACAAACAGCAGCGACAACAACAGCACCAACGCAACAAACATAATCCTCACCGCGGATTCTCACTTCACCCACTCATCCAGGGACCATGAATGACCGTTCGGCTCCTTCACTTTGAAATTTCCGTCCGTATTTGTATATGGGTATATATGTATACATATATATATATACATATATGTATCACTTTAAGGTTGCTCCCTCCAGCGCTCAGCCAGGCCCCGCCAGACAACATTTCGGCAACCAAAACTACTTTACGCGACCTCGGGCTTACACTGGTTGAGCAAGGAGGTGGAGGGTCGTAGTGAATTACGTCGTCGTCGTTGTACGCTTCGCTCCTCCTCCTCCTTCTTCTCATCGTTATCGTCCCGCTGCTCCTCTTCTTCCTCCTCTTCCTCCTTCTCTCCGTCGTCGTCATCCTCCTCCTCCTCCTCCTTCTCCTCCCGCTCCCTCTCAAGGTACCCGAACTCCTCCTCCTCCTCTTCCTCCTTTCTCCTCTTCCTCCGCCTCCTCCGCATCCTCCGCATCCTCGTCCTCATTCTCGTCCTGTTCCTCCTCCTCGTCGTCCCGCCCCTCCTCAGGGTGCCCGAACTCCTCCTCCTCCTCCTCCACCTCCTCCTCCTCCTCCTTCTCCTCCTCGTCTCGCTCCTCCTCAGGGTGCCCGAGCTCCTTCCCCCCCCCCTCTGTTTTCCTCCTCCTCCTCCTCCTCCTCCTCCTTCTCTTCCACTTCCTCGTCCTCCTCCTCCTGTTTTCCTTCCTCCTCCTCCTTTTCCTCGTCCTCCTCCTCTTCCTTCTGCTCGCGCCTCCCTCTCCCGCGCGCCTGCTCCTCCCCGAACCGCGCCCCGCCCCTCCGCGCTCGAGGCGCGCCCGGCCTCGAGCCGCGGGGATCCGCTGCCCCCCCGTTCCCCGCCCCGAGCCCACAGGGATCGGCGCGGGGGGTGCCAAGATCGGCGGCGAGCCGGGGGGGGGGCCTCTCAGAGGGCGGCGGGGTGTCTCAGAAGCCCTCCCCAGCCTCCTGAGGAGTTTCCCCTGCGTCTCCGGGGAGGGCCGCGAGAACCTCAGGAGGAGGCCCGAGGTCGTCCGAGCCTTCTGGAAAGGCATCCTCCTTTTTCAGTTCCCCCGGGGCGCGCCGCCGATCCTGGCCTGGGTAGGATTTTTTCTTTCATGAATTAATCAAATCCAGGGCGATCACGGGCTTACCAGGGGGGTGAGGGCGGGAGGCGGGAGGGGGGCGTGGGCGGGAGGCAGGTGACGTCACGTTTCGCGCCGGCGCCGTCGGGGAGCGTCTAGGAGTCACCAAAGCCGCCTCGGGGGTCAGCATGAATCGTAAGGTCCGCGGATCGCGGACAAGGTGAGGCAACGCTGTCCAGGAGAGCGCATACGCCAAGCCTGAGCCCACGGTGGGCCTTGCCAGGGTCGGTGTGCATGGTTGGCCCCCTCGTGCATCAGGCACGTCCAGCGAGAAAGAGCGGCCGGCCAGCAGGTGCCCCGACGGGAACTGTTTATTCCCCGATGGCCTGCAGGACTCACAGAAGCCTTGGGAGTGCCTCGGGATCCTCAGACATCGACGGGGTTGTGTGTGTCCAAAGATTTTTCTGCTGGCGAGATGTCCCTCGACTGGGGGGAAACATATGGTATGGCGATGAATGTCAGTTTTTCTGTATTTTGTCCTACTATTTGTTCAACAAAAAAAGCTTTGTCTATTTCTTTTGTCCCTCAAAATCTTCTTGTATATAGAGGGACATGCCCGACCTAATCCACATGCGATGGCTTGATTTTTTCCTGCGCGGCCCCCGAGAGTGCCAGCCCCTTTCCCAGGACCAGTTCTTCGGCCCAGTCGTTTTTGATGGTAAAAGAGCTCCCGCCGTGATGTTGGCCACGGCGCGAGCATGTCTGGGTATGTGTTTCCTGTGCCCGTTGCGGCCTTGGGCTCCCTGATGGCCCGGGGCGCGCCCCTCCTCCTGCCTCCCCCCCTCTCTCCCCTCCCCGCGCCCCCTTGTCGTGTCGCCCCTTCGTCGTCGTGTTTCACCAGAGACAAGTGCCCCAGCTAGGGGGGTGGCTGTCCACCCCTCTCGCGCTGGTGGCACCTCGTTCCGGGCATGCCTCCAGAGAGTTTCCGGAAGGAGGTGCCACCAGCTCGAGGGGAGGGAGCGGCCACCCCCCCAGCTGGTGGTAGTGGTACTTTTGTCTCTCTTGAGTGTTCCCCTTGTTTGCCACAGGGCTCCTCTTGATGGTGGAAAAGTGTCTCCTTGTGCCCGTTCCCCTCCCCGTCCCCAGACCCCCGACGTCATGATTTTTTCATAACGTCGACTCTGAGAGGTCTCGACCCATTCCAAGGGACCAGTTTTTCGCCCCGAGTCGTTTATGTTGGACAGTCCCGAGGGCCGGCAAGGGCCTCCAGAGGCCGAAAATATGGACACGCCTCCCTGCATGATTTTTTCCTTGTCCGAGGGAGTCTTGGTCCCTTGCCGCCGACGCCTCCGACAGGGAGGCGGCCACTGCCAGGGCGCACTGGCCGGCACTTGCCGGCACCCCGCCCCCGCCGGTGCCCGGGGCGCTGGCCCCCGCCGGTGCCCGGGGCGCTGGGGGCGCGGCGTGGCGGGCGCTGCCTCTGTGCCGTGCTCGCGCGCCGCTCGCCCTCTCCTTGTCCTCGCCCTGCCCTCGCCCGGCCGTCCTCCGCCTCCGCCTCCTCCTCCTCCTCCGCCTCGTCCTCCGCCTCGTCCGCCTTCTTTCCGCCTCCTCCTCCTCCGCCTCCTCCTCCGCCTCCTCCGCTTCCTCCGCCTCCGCCTCCTCCTCCGCCTCGTCCTCCTCCTCCTCCGCCTCCTCCTCCGCCTCCTCCTCCGCCTCCTCCGCCTCCTCCGCCTCCTCCGCCTCCTCCTCCTCCTCCTCCTCCTCATCCTCGGCCTCGTCCTCCTCTTGTGCATCCTGCTCATTCCCCATCCCTTTTCCTTATGGATAAGTTCTCCCTGTCGGACCCCGGAACAAGTTTTTTAGAACGGGCTGGGCGTTTCGCCTGCGACTCCCTCCGCCTTTCTGACTGCGAAGCTAGAAACATGTCAACAACTTTACAGATGGAGGGCGGGTGGTTTTCAAAATACGGTTCTCGCCTTAGCGTAGCGCACATTCGTTTTCAAAATCTGGCTCTCGCCTTAGCGTAGCGCACATTCGTTTTTACAAATGGCAAGAGTTGCGCGACTTTAGGGCTAGACGTTTTCAAAAAGTGGCTCTCGCCTTAGCGCGGGGCACTTTCTTGAAATTCGCAAGAGCTTCACGGATTGAGGGCAGCTGGTTTTCAAAATGCGGTTCTCGCCATAGCGCCGCGCACATTCGTTTTAACGATTTGCAAGAGTTTCGCGAATTGAGGGCGAGTCGTTCTCAAAATGTGGCTCTCGCTTAGCGCCGCGCTCATTCGTTTTAGAAATCTGCAAGAGTTTACGGAGTCCCATCATCAACGTACCAGCAATTGTGCTTTGAAAGGATTCAGGACTACGCGGGCGCAACACTTACGTTGGTTCGCTGAGTTGAAGTTCCAGGGACGGCGTTCTGGCACGATTCTGGATCGTCAACACGCAACAGTCGTGTTGATCCGTGGCGTTGGAATCCCGACATCAATGTTTTGGCATGCTGCAGGGTCTTCCAACGGTTGTCTTCCAACGAGGGAGTTCCCTCAATTGAACTGAACCGTTGTAGGGGCCTGTGAAGAGGGAGCTTGGAGGGAATGTTTATTCCAACATCGTTGATGCCTCTTGGGTTTACACTGGTCCTCCTCCTCCTCCTCCTCCTCCTCGGCCTCCTCCTCCTCGTACTCCTCCGCCTCCTCCGCCTCCTCCTCCTCCTCCGCCTCCTCCTCCTCCGCCTCCGCCTCGGCCTCCTCCTCTTCCTCCTCCTCCTTCTCGTCCTCCTCTGCCTCCTCCGCCGCCTCCTCCTCCTCCGCCTCCTTCTCTTCCTCCTCGCCCTTCCCGTCGTGAAACAGGTCGCAGCGGGAGGTTTTGCGTCACTTTCGGCTTCTGGTGGGGGGCTCACTCGGCCCCAGGACCATCCACCAAAATCGTCTCGGTACGTAAATCCAGTCCTGGGGGAAGGGTCTAGGCTTAAGCCGGGCCTGTCCCTCTACAGAAAGAATGTTCAAACACAGTCAAGAAATAGTCTGGGGACGATTCTTTGATTATTTGAGAATATTTGCATATTTTTATGTTGCTCGCCCAAGGTCCGCCTGTAGGAGGACATGCCCGACCCATGTCCAGGCGCCTGGGTCCCTGGGGGTCCGCGTGGTGGAAAAAAGCTCACCGCGTCGGTAGTCGGGGCTCCTTGCCGCCCCCCCTCCTCCCTGTCGCCCCCTCCGCCTCGGCACCCTCCGGGCTGGCCCGCTCCCGCGTCGCCTCCCCACTCCTCCTTCGTCCTGAAGGCTGCTGCCTCGCATCCCTCGCCCTCGCGAGCCGCTTCTCCAGTCTGCGCCGCCGGGCACGCTGGGCCGGGGCCGGGGTGCCGAGCTGAGCGGTGCGGCCAGGGTGCGCCCCGATGGCCCCCATGGCTATCTCTGTCCCTCTCCCTCTTCTCCTCCTCTTCCTCCTCCTCCTCCTCCTCCTCCTCCTCTTCCTCCTCCTCCTCCACCTCCTCCTCCTCCTCCTCCTCTTCCTCCTCCTCCTCCTCCTCCTCCTCCTCCTCGTTCTCTGTGTGTGCAGACAACTCGAACCGGCCGTGGATGGCAGATTGGCGCTCGGGGCGCGCGCCAGAAAAGATCGCACGCGTCCGCGGCATCAGGATGGGACGGTTGCGTTGGATTCAAGCAGTGACGAAGCATCCCGATCTGCTGATTGGCCCACCAGGCAATCTACGAACCGCTCGCGGTCAGTACAAACCGTTATTCGAGCATTTCCGACCTAGACAGCCTTGACTTGAGCCGCCGGGACTATGTTCTAAGAACTGGTTTGTGATTAGACCATTCTTCTGTTCTGCGAGCATGCCGTGGAAGCCTTTCTGAAATGCTGGCACTGCCGGCCCCTGCTCATTGGATGCACCATCGCCGTGAGCAGCAGCTCCACGTGTGCCACCGCTCCCTCGCGTTCCCCTGCCGCTTGTGCGCTGCCGACGTTGCCGTCGCCTGCTTTTTGCTGTTCTACCCGCTGCACGGTCGTGCAAGGGGTGAGGGGCAGCGCCTCGGGACATGGCTCCGCTGCTCGTTTCGGTTGTCGTTCAACCGATCCCCGGCCCCATCCCCATCCCCATGCAGACCCCCCGCATCCTTGCACCCCGGTTGGGGGCACACGCCTCGAAACCCGAAGGGCACGGCCTACATCCCCATCTAGGGGGTCAAGCGGCCACTGGGGCCCAGGCCACGTTCACATGGGGACAGGGGTCGGTTCCACGATGCCCATCGCTGTGCGCCTCTGCGGTCCTCTCGGGGCCAGCCAGGCTCCCTGAAGGTGCCGGTGACTCTGCGGCTTCTGTTGGCGGCCTTTCCGCGCCTGCCCGGGTTCTTCGCCTGGGGCCCCGCCACACGCGCACCGTGGCGAGTGCCGGGTCACTTCGGGCGGAGGCGCCCGCTCGCGGTGTCCAGGGGCGGGCGAGGAGGGACAATGCAGAGGAGACGGACAGCGGGCGAGCAGGCAGGGAGGGTGGAGGGCGCAGAGGGCGGAGGGCGAAGGGAGAAGGGGCGGACGAGAGAGGGCGAGGGGGGAGGGGGGGGAGAGAGGGCGAGGGACGAGGGGAGGCAGACAGGTACCGCGGGGGCGCGGAGCCAGTCGAGCCTCGCGGGTCGCGGGTCTGGGCCAGAGCGGGTGCGCCTGCCCGCCGGGGGGGGCGGCGCGAGGGCGCGCAGGGTCCTGGCGCGTGGCGCCTCGCGGGTCGCGGCGTGCGCGGTGTCGGGCGACCGGGGTGTGCGGCAGCCACGCCAGACCCCGACGTCACGGTGTTCTCAGGACGTCGGCCCCCAGAGGTCTGGACCTAGTCCCCGGGACCAGTCTCTCATCCTGAGTCGTGTGTTGACGGTCTCGAGACCCGGTGAGGGCCTCCAGAGGCTTGAAAGAGCGAGAAGCCATCCGTCACGATTTGTTCTTGACTCGAGGGGGTCTGCGACGGAGTCACCAGCAGAGAAAGGACGACCCGATGAGAGGTCGCACCGTTCTCTTTACCACGGCAGAGACGCTGGGAGGGCGTGAGCGCGTCACTCTACACATCGCGCTTTGGAGGGCCTGCGGTCACCCGAGCAGCAGTGCGCTCGCGTGCGGGCGGTCCCGGTCGGGGGCATTCCGTCCCATTCTGAGCGTCTCGATGGATGGTCCCCCGGAGCACTATATGGCCCTCGCCCGAGACCAGACTGGCGGAACGGACGAACGTTCAGATGCTTGAACAACTACAGCATATGAAGTTCACCCAGTCCTGTGCCGCCTTCTCAGCGCTCCTTGAGGCAGCAGTCATCCATTGCAGGCCTGGCCCACGGTCGAGACCGCCAGCCTGACACTCAGGAAGGTGGGTGCTAGATTTTCCCGGAGGGTACAAAGGAAACCACACCCCCTCGCGTTGTATCGCGACGAGATGTTTTTCGCCATGTTCAGCCTCCGGGGCGCCCTTACCGAGCCCCGGGAGCGTCAAAACACGATTCAGGATGAGAAACCGGTCCCGGGGAAGGGGTCCAGACGTCTGGGGGTCGACGTTGTGAACAAATCACAACGTTGGGGGTCTGGGAACAGTGTGGTAGCCAACGTGGACGCCACACAAAAAGCTGTTGCATTGTGGATGCGCAAGCTATGTGGTGCAAGCTACGCTGTGCAAGCTGTGTGGTGTAAGCTGCGCTGTGCAGGCTGCCTTGGGCAAGCCATGTGGTGCTACCTACCTGGCGCAGGCTGCGCCGTGCACGCTGTGTTGTGCACGCCGTGTGGTGCAGGCTGCGTACGTCGTGACGCGGCAGCGAGGCGGCAACGGGCGGCAGCGGGCGGCGAAGCCTCTGCGGGCCCGCCCCGCGGCAACGAGGCGGCAACGGGCGGCAGCGTGGCGACGCCTTGGCGGACCCCCCCCCAGCGGCACCGAGGCGGTCACGGGCGGCAGCGTGGCGAAACCACGCCGGGCCCACCCACCGCGCCTGGCGGCCACGGGCGGCAACGTGGCGAAACTTGGCTGGACCCACCCGGCGCACGAGGCAGCCACGAGGCGTCCACTGGCTGCGCAACGTGGGACATCCCCGCCGGACCGTAGGAGAGCTCCGCGCGGATTTCTCGGGTCTGCGCTGGGAGCCCGTGGCGGCGCGTCCGGCGCCGATCCGAGAAGTCCGGTCATTTTGCTCTGTGCGCTGGGCGGCGGTCCCCTGAGCTCTGATGCCCGTGGGAGGGGCCTGGGCCATGCTGGGCCAGCCTCTTCGGAAGCCAGCAGTCCCGCCGCCAGTCTGTGGAGCTGCGGCCCCCCCGAGGGGCGGTTCTGCCACGGCCCGGGCGGGTTTCCTCATACATCTGGCTTTTAAGTCGGCCGTGTCCCTCTACAGGAGGAATATTCAAAACTAGCCAAAAAATAATCAGGGGACGATTTTTCAATAAGTATTTATCATCATTTTTGAAAATGTTTGACTACTCATTGTGTTCGCACAAATTTCGTCTGTAGGAGGACATGCCCGACCTAAATCTAGCTGGCAATCCAAGATCGGTGGCGAGCCGGGGGGGAGCGAGAGAAGGGGCGGGCTCTCTCTCAGAAGGCTCGGAAATCCCCCAAGACTTCTCAGAATACGCGAGGGCTTCTAAGATGTCCCGCCGCCTTCTGAGAAGGTCTTCTCCTGCTCACTTCCCCCCCGCGCTCGCCGCCGACAGAAATGCTCGCGTAGTGATAAGAACTCAGGGCAGGAGGTTTTTGTTGCTGTTTTCGGCCTCTGGCGGCCCTAGCCGAGCCCCAGGACCGTCAACAAACGACCCTAGACGAAACACTGACTGTGGGAAGAGGGTCGGGGCTTCTTGGGACCCCGTATGGATAAAACCCACACATCGGATGCCTCGGATGGATAATTCACCTTGGACTCGGACGGGGCTAAAGGATAAATCCATTTCAGAGCGCTCCCGAAAGCTCTCAGAGCGTTCCGGAACGCTCTGAGAAGGCCGCGGCGCCCGAGGCGTCCTCCAGAGCCGCCAGATTTCAGAGATTCTCGATTCATCCTCACCCGATGCTATTCTCGTCCTGGCTTCGTCTTATGGACCTTGGAGGGGGAGGAGGGTTGGGCTTTCTGCTAATCGTCGTTTTGGACGTGGCTGCCTGGAACGATCCCGTGGCTCCCGCACAAGGCTTGCAAAAGATCGAACGTTGAAGGCCACCTGCCCCTCACCATCCACCATTTGCGTGCCCAGGCCCCTCCCCCTTGCTGGGTAGTCGAAGGCCAGACTGTCAGACTGGATTGGGCCCCAAGGGCCAATCTGGCCTGGCCATATTGGAGGATTTGGGTTATTCGCCAGACTGGATTCGCGTTGGCTCCCTCGCCAGATTGCCCCCGTTTGCCAGATTGGGCCTGCCAGATTGGCGCCAGATTGGCTTCGACTACCCAGCCGTGGCCTCATCCCCCCACCTCCCCAGCAGATGAAGAGAACCTCGAGGCTCAACAGCTCTGTCGAACTTCCCCACTGGAGGAGCATGTGCTTCTGGAGCGGAGCAGAAGGAACGACCAGAGCGGATGTGGAAGGTCCACCTTCGAAGCTGTTCGGCTTCCTGCAGGGTGGCTGGACACCTTGTCCCCCGAGCGCCTACACTTGGAGACTCCTCACGATCCTCCTCGCCATCATCATCCTTCTCCGCCCCCCTCTTCTTGAAATCATCCCCCTGTCGCACCACCAGGCGTGTGTGTGTGTGTGTGTGTGTGTGTGTGTGTGTGTGTGTGTGTGTGTTCAAGCCCGTCTGGGTGTTTCGCTTGACTTTTTCGATTGGCGATCACGAAGCTAAGAGTTCCAACTGTCACAAGGATTCAGGGCCTGCGGTTTCCAACATACGGTTCTCGCATATCGCCGCGCACATCAAACAACATGCTTCCATATACAAGGATGGAGGGCTGGTGTTTTCCAAATGCGGCTCTCACCTTCGCGCCACAGACATTATTTCTCAAAGCTTAGCTGCAAGAGTGGATGCAAGTTCGTTTTCAACTATGGGTTCTCGCTTGAGACGTCCTCAACCTCTATGTCCCGAGTGAAGCAGTTAACTTAGACGAATGTAAGATCATTTTCAAAGTTGGGCGTTCGCTTGAGACTTCCGCAAGTTGTATGACAAGACTTTCCAAGTGGGGCGACGTTTATACAGATCAAGGGCATCTCCTCATCAAAACGAGGCCATCGTCGGTCACTTCCTTGTATATTGTCATCTCACCTTTTGACGAATTGTTTACGCTTCGCGAGTCCCCACCAGCCCATTCAGGAGCCCTGCCCATGAGAGCTGACATGAAAAGGGACAAAGGGACACATAACTATCTATCTATCTATCTATCTATCTATATATCTATCTACCTACCTACCTACCTATCTATCTATCTATCTATCTATCTATCTATCTATCTATCTATCTATCTATCTATCTATGTGTGTGTGTGAAACAAAGCGGGCAACCCGGGTGAACAAGATAGATCTCAGGGAGCAAAGGTGTGGCTTTGGAGGGCCTCTTCTGGCCATCCCCAGGGCCCAGAGCTCTTTTGGGGCATCTTTGGGCCCTCTTGGGGCTTTTCGGAGGGTCTTGGGGTGCTCTTGGGGCTCTTTTGGTGCGCCTTGGGGCCCTCATGGGAC